TTTATAAATTCATAAAAATAAAACAAACAAAAAACTACCAAACATATTTTATCACAGACGAAAACCAGGGACATTTTCCTTATGTTGAGACGGTTAGTTTTCCGTGTTTCAAAACATTTATTGATTTCTGCCCTCCAGAACTCAACTTTGATTTAAGAACAACTCAACATACTAATAAAAGAATTTTGAAATTTGAAAAATGAAACTTTAAAAATGTTGGCCTAAGAATTATTCCTTGTGATGGTTATATTGTACATAAATAAGATGAAACATGTCAAAAGTTAGAGAATAAATTTCAGAAAAAGATAATATTAAATTGTAAAAATAGGAATTTGTCTTACGAAGACACTTTATTTTAATCAGAATTATGACAAAATATGTAATTTATAATCATCTGCCTCTATTAATAGGTTAAATACGTAAACTTCTTTTGCTCAAAACAGAATACGTTTCAGTGATTTTATTGGTAAGCGACAGCGTTCGAATCCGATCAAAGCTTGCGCCTCAAGGAAAGACCGGTACAAGTGTTATCGCATAGTGACAAAAGGAGCTCCAGTCGTAGTCTTTATCAACGCTACTCTTCGAGCCGCAACACTTGTGTGTATTTGACCTCGGACCCTGCCGCAGGATGGGTTGCGAAATAATGGCATCTCATTACTAATTAGGCCAAAGATCACTACTGCTTGGTAGGCAGAACCGAAATACTTCCAAATTAGTACTAAACATATTCATTGCCATCAGAAAATTAAGAATATACTTTTTATATATTTTCTTCAAGCAATTCTTTCGTCTTTCGTATTCGTTTTTAAACAAAATCTAGATTACGTATTCATTTTTGTTCATATTTGACAACACTCTTATTTCTTACGGAGAGTGTATCCAAAGGTTCTGAAATTTTAACTAAACATTTCAGTAAATTAGTACTACCATCAGTCACGACGACCTCTTTTCATACGTTGAAATAAGATTGTATTAATGCGAAAGTGTTAGTTGTTATTGTCTATATTCACTAATCTTTCAAAAACGAGCTCCCTTTCAAGAGCAAATAAATTAATATGTGTATCGAAACATTGTTTTTTAAATAGCTTAAAAATTAAATTAGCAATTTTGAAAACAGAAGACCTCATTCTCGTATCCAAAAATTCTTACACAGAGATTAGGATGAATTCAAGGAACATTCAAGTCAAATTCGAAGAAAATTGAACAACGCTTTCGGTTGTGATCGCAAAACAAAGAAATTCACAGACGGATGAAATGCGGAAGGATGGAGTTGAATCAGGACCTCACTTTACTTGTTCGGTTGAAGAAGATGTGGTGGATAATGAGAGGAAGAATGAGGACTGCAAATGAAGCAAAGGAGGCAGCTACTTGAACTGCACTGTTGCAGGGGCTTGTGTACCCGGCGTTGCACACACTGGTGGCGCAGTGGGCGCCGCCCAATGAGAAGGGCAAGTTCATCTTCTCCCTCATGGGTAAGTACAGTGCGCGTAGGCGCACGCAACAGGAGGGGCAACAACATTTTTGGGACCCTCTGGGCCCCTTTTTCCATTGAACGTTTTATTTATATATAACATATTTAACGAAGAAATAAATAAAGTATGCATAAAGGCGAATTAAATTACAACTATAATGTTGCAATATCAATAAATACAATATTATTGATTTTGTGTTGAATAATTTACAGCGTTCTCAAATGGTATGGAGATTCTTTTCGCGAAATGTCGTGTATCAATTCCCTAAATTGTCAGGTGAAAAATGAGGAAAATCAGGAATATATATTTTTTACGGAAATAAAATAATTTTATTACGTAAGGCTTCGGGACCCCATTTCAAAATTTCAAGGGAGCCTCGGCCCCCTGGGTCGCGGCTGGAGATTTTGCCAGATAATTAAAAAATAAAATATTTTCCGCGATCATTTCTTTTCAAAATTGTACCACAAATAGAACATACAGAACGCTATAATTTTCTCATACAAGTAACTAGAGGCTAGTAGCAACATTAAGCGCTACGAAACAAAATCACACAAAATGATTTTCCAAAAAGCTCCACGCACTCTGCTCAAGAACAACAAATAAAATCTCATAGCACTGCAATAGATTAAATATTGTAACAAAAACGGCTTTCACAAATTTTGCAATAAAATAGTGTAATGTAATGTACAGTACACCAGTTATTTTACATTGCAAGAATATAAAAAAGTTGCTGTACCATAACCGAACACGTGAGTAGCAAATATTTCACAGTGGGCGATCTATTCCTTGGAGCCTTGGTGTTGCATGACATCAGATGTGTCGTAAACACTATGAGAATTCAGACGGTACATGCAGTGTAAGAACAGGTGAGTAAACTAATCAAATATTTGCATTTTTTAGACAAAATCGAAACTGTTTCATTGTTTTGTGTTTTCCCGAGTTTCTGGCTGTATAATGAAACCGTTGGCACCTATCGTTTCACCGGAAGCTGCATAGTTTTCTTTTCATTTCTGTAGACATTGTAAAATAGTAATATAGACAACGACCACTGAATTTCATTACAGTGTCAAAAAAGACTTCCAGCCATAATAAAGAGCCATCATAACTGTCCATTAACTACGCACACCGATCGGACCGGCGCACCCGGGCGGCGCAGTGGTTCTGCATCCCAGGTTCCGCACGAAAGAGTGAGCCTGCACTTGCACCCGCGCTTCCACTTTCTCACAAAATAAAAGCTACAAGTGTCAACTAGATCCACTTTAACTATATTCGTATTTAAAACCCATGTATATTTTAATAAAAATAACAATTTGTAAGTGAACATAATTCGCCCAGTGTGGACAGGGTCAGGCGAATGCAGAGGCCAAAGCACGGAAACTAATGAAATACAGTCCCTGCTCAATTATTCCCTGGACTCACGCAGATTCACCCCGAGCGACGTTATTTTTGTGACCGGTACGTTGGCGCAGGGCATCAACTGAATTCAGTGGTTCCTTTGATCGAAAGTTCCTGGGGTTCGAGTCTCGACGGTGGCAGGATTTCTGGCACTAGCTGGATAGCTAGGTCAAATTCAGCCGCTGGCTGGAGGAGAATTCTAGCGTCCGGCTGCTCTAATCGGTAGTTTTAAGTGATTTCTTCTATCCATATCAGGGGAATGGCGGTAAAGAACACTAACAAATGAGTTACGAACCGCGTACAAAGTTTCCGTCCTTTTTCTTTTTGCGTCTTCCATTCCAATACACTTATTTTGTTTGTTTTGTTTTGATGCTTTCATTCGTCTTTCAACTGTATATAGTTAAAATATTATGAAGGGCTTCTGGAGTTCAAAAAATTTGCGCAGATGATCCTCTTCCTCGTACGTCACATCCAGTTTTCCTTTTTTTTAGTAAAGTCAAATAAATAAGAACACTACCACACCTGTCGGGCGATCAGTCGGAAGCTTAGATCTTGTCTAGGCTAGGATGGTGACAAGTTGGCAGAGATACGTAGAGGGAGGAAACCTGAAAGCCGACGTTCCAGAAGGGAAAAACATTGCCACCTCCTGGAATACAATATGCATTACATTTACGGGTATAATGAGTAAATAAGTAAACGCGCCCGGAATCAATGAATACTATTTAAATCACATTTCTTTCTGTGGTATAGGTTATCAATTTTTACCTCAGTCTCTCACTCCCTACCAAAGGTACCGCAGCTGTGTGAGCCTTTGCGTTCATTTGTTGTACCTTTGCGTTGCGCCTGCGCAGGAGGCACGTTCTCCGCCGTGGGCACGTGGCCTGTCGTGGGCGCCATCATCGACTCTCTAGGCTGGGAGGCCGCCTTCTACTACATCGCCCTGACGTGCTGCGCGTGGTCGTTCGCGTGGCTGGCGTTGGTGTACGACTCACCGGCCGTGCACCCGTTCATCTCGGAGAGCGAGCGCAGCTACATCCTGACGGCGCAGAGCGGCTCCGTGCGCAGCACCAAGCGGCCTGTGCGGCTGCGCGCCGTCGCCACCAGCGTGCCTTTCATCGCCCTGCTGGCCGCGCACTACGGCAACCTGTGGGGGCTGTTTCTGCTCACGACGGACACGCCGCTCTTCCTCAGCGAGGTGCTCGGCTTCAGCATCAAGGAGGTAGGCCACTCGCCCAGACGGCCTTCACCTCCATCGGCTCTCTATGCGATCGAGGGCGGCGTCGGCTTGCCTTGGCCGGCTCCTAATGACCTTTTGCCAGCTACTTTCCGAATATTTCCTTTTCCGAATTCGCACCTAGGTCTCTACAAAAATATCTTGAAAAGATAAAAACACACTTCTAGATAGCCTCAAAGTATGTATAGGGGAAAGTGCACTTATTCATATGTTGTCTCTCTCTTTTTCTTTCTTTCATTTAATAAGTCCGTCCGTTTACTTTTATTCATCCTTTCATTTTCAACCGAAATTCAAATCTGAACTGGAAAAACAAGTACAAATGTATTTAAGACAAGAAAGATGATCTAATCGCATAGGAATTCAATACATACTAAGAAAAAACAATATCCAATGGGTTTTTCTGCCGAAATACGTGACTACTTAAGTCCAAATAATGATTACGTTTACTTCTCAAGTACTCAAATGTTTTCAACTCTAAGTTGAATAGTTAATTTCGGCATGCAAATAAATATTTGCACAGTACTTACACACCTACTAAAACCCTCTATATCTTTTTTCTTGAATAAAATTATTTTCTTTTAACATCTATAACCTAAGACTTTAATGTATTTATTTATTTACTTGTTTGTTTGTATGATTTATTTATTTATTTATTTATTTATTTATTTATTTATTTATTTATTTATTTATTTAGTCATTCATTCATTCATTCATTCATGCAATCATTCATTCATTCATCGTTCATTCATTCATTTATTCATTTATTCATTTTGCGTTCGGCAACTAGAGGATGAGAATATGATTTGATTTGATTTATTTTCTGTCGCATCAACTACATAGAGTTATTAGCGACTACCATAATAATACACAATCAGTACAAAATAACACAGTATACGTAGAATTTTACATATATGGTTATATATTGTTATATATTTCAATTTCCTTTGCAAAGCAAATTAATTTAATGCACTTTTCTTTGTTATTGAGATCTTTAAGAGAAGTTAGTTTGTACTTGTTTCTTGCACTTTCATATTCAGGGCAATCAAACAAATGTTCTATTGAAAGAGGGATCTTGCACGCACTACAGTTATCAGCATCCGTCCTGTTCAATAAGTAGCCGTGTGAAAATTTTGTGTGTCCTATTCTTCATCTTGTTAAGACGACCTGATCATTTCTGCAGAAATTGACAGTTTGATTATCATCTTGAAGTTTCCTAACTGCTCTTAATTTGTAAGTTGTTCCATTCTTTACTGTCGAGGTCAGCTAATTTGTTCTTGAGTCTTTTGAGGTATTCTTGATAGCTTACTGGTATATCACTTCTAACTTCGCTTCGCGCTGCTTCTTTAGCTTTTCTATCTGCCAATTCATTTTCTGCAATGCCAACGTGCGAGGGTATCCAGCACAACGCTATTTCTTTACCCTCAGTGTTTAAATGGTTGATTTCTCCAACTATTTCTTCGACCAATACATTATCAATGGATAGATTCATTATAGCAGATACAGCACTTTTAGAGTCTGTTATTATCATAAATCTTTTTTGATTGGCCCTTGTGATGAATTTAAGAGCCTCAGCTTTGTCATATAATTCGCTGGATATCACTGAGAAATCATCCGGTAATTTTTTGGTGATCACCTCACATGAAGCTATCACTGCGCAACCTACGTTGTTTAGAATCTTTGAGCCATCAGTATAAATTGTATTGTAACCATCACATTTTGCTAGTTCATTTCTTATTTGAGCACCAATTTCACGATGATTAGTATTCTGCTTGTTAGGAATATTCGCAAATTCAATAACGTTGATGTCTCGTATTGTCCAGGGGGCATAGTCAGGTTCAGTCGTAATCTTTAGGGACGGTAGTTTCTCTTGTATCTTCTTTAGTGTTTGAATTGCTCTTATTGCTAGGGGTCTCGGGAGCTTCTTTTTATAGCTAGATGTCCTATAATGTTTGTATGCATATTCGAACACTTTATTTATTGGATTCAGTGTATTGGCTGCCACTTTAATCGTATACCCCATAATTAGGTTTCTTTTACGTTTTTCTAATGATAATAAATCTGCTTCACACAAAATGCTCACTTGGGCTGGTCTTGAAAGAACCACACGTCAGTCTTGCTCCCGTATTATTGATAGGATCAAACATTCTCTTGATGTTCTTCTTGGCCGCATCATATAGTATACAGCCATAGTCCAATTTTGATCTGACGATTGCCTGATAGGTTCTCCTTATAATCGTATAGTCCGCTCCCCAGGATGTATGGCTAATGACTTTGACAAGTCTCATTCTTTTGGTGCACTCATTCTTTAAATTCTTGATATGCCGAATCCATGTCATCTTTTCGTCTAAAATCATTCCTAAGATTTTAATTTCCTTACTCTGTACCAACTTATGCTGTCCTAATTTTAGTTCAATGTTTCTTCTATGAGATCGTTCCTAGAAAAAACTATGAAAGTGGATTTTGTCTTGGAAATCTTGAGCCCGGTTTTCCTTGAAAATTCCATGACTGCATCTAAGATGTTTTGAGCCTTTTCTTCTAATGATGAAATATCTTTGCCAGTTATGCTAATATTGCTATCATCCGCATACATATTGATGACGGCTGGAGGTTTAATACTGTTCTGGAGGTCATTAATAATAAGTAAAAACAGAGTAACACTAAGTATTGACCCCTGTGGGACGCCATTCATAACTTTATAGCTGTCCGACAGGATTCCATTTATTCTAATCTTGATAAAGCGTTCTTTTAAGAAATTGTAAATGAACTTGCTAATGTTGCCTTTAATCTTGGCCCACGTTATTAAATTCACTACCCGTCTTCTCCACACCATCTCGTAGGTTTTTCAATGTCTAAGTTTACAACTAAGGTGTTCATATTATTAGCAAAACCGTTGTATATGCTGTTTTCAATTGATGCTAGACAGTCCATTGTTGAATTTTCCGGAACCCGCTTTGATATAGGGAAATCAATTGATTTTCCAAGTACCACCTCAATCTATGATTCATTATTTTTTCTAGCATTTTACAAAGGCAACATGTTAATGCAATAGGCCTATAGCTGCTTATCAGGGATTTATCTTTCCATGGTTTGTGGATCGGCACAATAATAGCTTCAGACCACTTTTTAGGGAATACATTGTGAATATAGATCGTATTAAATATATGCAACAGGTACTTTATAGCGGATGGAGGCATCTTCTTGATGACTATATTGGGGATTCCATCAGGGTCGGCACTGGTGTTTTTAAGTTTATGTATTGCTTCATGCAGTTCTCTTGGTGTGATGGGTGCGTTTAAATGTTGAATATCATTATCTACTGTGCTTCCTTCTTCAAGATCGGGTTTGATTTTCTCAATCTCTTTAATGAATGCATTATCATAATTCTGATCACTAGAGTTTGATGAAAATAAAGCTCCAAAGCTATTTGCAATATTCCAAGGATCATGTAAGTTGGTACCGTCGGAAGTGTAGAGTGAGTAATGCTGGTACTTTTATATTTTCCATTTATGGCGTTGATTCTTTTCCAGGCTTCTGTACTATTCATTTTGTAATTAATTGATGAAATAAATTCGCTCCAACAATTTCTTTTGATTTCTTTTATTATTTTCCTTGCTTTTGCTCTGGCAGATTTGAATTGGATTTTATTTGCATCCGTATTATGCCTCTTATATACATAAAACAAATGCTTGTATTTCTTAACAGCCTCCTCACAGTATTTAGACCACCACGGTAACTTGCTTTTACCTATTTTACCAGTAGTTTTCGGAATGGTTACCACAGCGGTGGTCATAATTATTTCTTCAAAGTTGTCTAAGATTGCATCTATTTGATTTAAGTCAAAATCATCGTTACTATTTAAATGTTTAATTTTGCCTTCAATAATTCGCTGATATAGGCTCAAATTTGCTTTCGAGAGAATCCATCACGGCTCGTCAATAACCTCATGTTCCGAAGTATCTTCTAAGATCACGGTGATAGGATAATGGCCACTGTTGAATAGGTCATCGGATACTTTCCATTGCAAGTATCTTACTAGGTTTGGCGTACACATACTTATATCGATAGTACTTACATTTCCTGTTGCCACTTTGAAATATGTAGGCTTATTGTTATCATTTAATAACACAAGGTCTTCTTTCTCAAAACAATCACCTACTATTTTACCCCTGATATCCGTTCTTACTGAGCCCCATTGCACATTGTGACAATTAAAATCATCAAGTAATATTAATGGTTTATTAACTTGTTGAATTAGACTTACAAGTTCACAACTAAGCAGTTGAAATGACCTTGGGTTGTATATATTGCACAACATGATGTTTCTAGATCCTATATGGATACACCAACTACTTCAAGATCACTTGTTATTTGCACTTTACTGCTTACAAACGATTCGCAAACGTAAATTGCCACACCTCCACTAGCATTCACACATGACGATCTATTTTTGTAGTAACACACTTGAAACCTTTTGATATGGTTTTATAATGATTATGTTTAAAAGGATTTTCTGTACTACAGACTAAATTAAGTTTTCCTCATTTTTGAAGTTTTGGAAGAACTCGATCGGTCCGGAGCCGTTTCACGTTCCATTGCAGAATTTTTGATTGTTCATTATCTTCTTACAACTTGATAAACATATCGTTCGCGAAGGATGCTCCTTGAGAAATCAACGTTACCCGGATCCTTCAACCTCTTATGACTCGAAAAGGGACTTCATCGCTCTATCCACTAGTAATGGGTAGCATATCCTCTGAGCAATGTAACACAATCAAGTTATCAGTTTTCTTTAGTATAATAAGACATATTGTAGTGCCTACTAGTTCCGTACCGTACCTCTAGAAATCTTTGAGTTGTTCATTAATTAAGAACTTGGAAGTTCCTTCTAATTTTCTTTACTGGAGCTAACTGTCACTAATGTTCTTTTCTCACTTTTATTTTCAGAGTTGTTTTCCCTCGCATTGCACTTTCTTTTTCTACTTTTTGACAGGTTTAGCACATTCTTGTGCTCTTTCTTTCCGAACTATCAAGGGTGGTTCGAGGTTTTATTACTAGAGTATTGTGATCTGCGAAAGTGTTCTTTTTAGCTGTCTTTCCAGTCTCAATTAAGGGAATCTCATCAAAAGTTAGAATTATCGTTTGTGGTTGTGCTCACATCCTGTTTGTGTCTTGTGGTAAATTCACAGTGATATTAGAATTAATATTATCTACATTTTAACAGTTTCTTGCTACTTGACCTTCTCCCTTGCATTGATAGATTTTATAGTGCCATAAGAAATATAATCCAATTTCTCTCTCCTTTTGTACACACTACATAGAATCAGTATTTTGTTTAGTGAGTCTTCCGGCGCATACATTTGCCTACGAAGCTCAGAATATGTGTGAATTCTTCTTTCCGAATCCCGCTCTAAGGAATGAAACGTTAGAACTTCGCACTACGTTCAATTTATCAAGTTCTTCTTCAATTAGTACATTGGGGATCATTGGGAAACATTTGAAAAATACTTTTGCCTGCTACTGACAATGGCGCATATTTTGTTCACTTCCATCTATATTATAGATTTATATTTATCTGTTACTTCATCAACTACTTACTACTGCTAGGAAGATGCAACTCTGCTGTTTGAGATTATTGGAAGCGTATATTATGTTTCGTGTGAAACAATAGTAGCTAGTTTCTACATACTTTCTAGAGATGTACTGTAGTCTTTCCCATCATTATAACCTTTCTCTTTGTCGGATACATAGAATTGTTTGTACGATATTACTCCAGTTTGTGCGCCTTGAAGATTGACCTGAGGCGGGTTGGCTCCTGTTGTCAGAGGCCTTTCCTTCAGCCGATGCTTCATTCGAGGTCATTTCCCGTTAACTTGTCCCCCCATAGGGGAGGAAGAGATAACGGTTTTATACTTCTCTGTACTATATGCTGATTAATAAACTGTCCACAATTAACACGCAGACTAAGGAAAGTACAAGCTCACTGCCTAACACTGTGCTGTCACTGTGCGTAGCGCGGCGCGGCGCGATGTTGACTCGACGACTGTCTGTGACGGGCTAGATGAGAATATGGATGTTTGTATGAACACAAATGTAGAGATGTTATTTCTAACATTTATTTTAAAGTTATGGAACAATTCGATGTCGGTGTGTGCTAAGATGTGTAGTGCATGAGTATCTAACACATCATTTTTAAAACTGTAACGTTAACATCTCGTAATTCAGTTTATTATATCACTTCACCGACCACACACAAAGGGTTTCAGCCAGGCCTCACGTAAGAGTCTATTTACACCAAACAAGACTGACACTCGTTGCACTGAGTGCGGTGGACGTGTGTGCATGTCGTGGCCGCGATCTGAGCGAGCGCTGTGTGTGCAGAGCGGCTTCCTGGGCAGCTTGCCGTCGTTGGGCCGCTGCGTGATGTCGCTGCTGTTCGGCGCAGTCGTGGACCACGTCACCAGCCGGGGGCTGTGGAAGAACAAGTCTCACATGCGCAAGGCCTTCGTCTTCTTCTGTGAGTGGCCTCTGCGAGTGAACGGCGTGAAACGGCACTGCGGTTTCTTTGTTCCCTGTTGCCGGTGGAAATAGAGATATCTAAAACAGTGATTGTTGCCACCGTTGGGACATGTTTAATATCGAGACATGTGGCACAATAAAATCTAGCCTTTTGATCACTTCGTCTCCGGAGAGCCGTAGTGAAAGTGACCCTTGAAATTGCATGTGATATAAATGGATATGCATATGATAGGTGAGGGTTAGAAAAATTAATTAATTTTGATCTAATTATCAACAACTTAACTATTATTTTTATTATCATTATCCCTTTGCAATATTAAAATAATCCACATCATTGTACCAAACATTTAAAATGTGCCCAATTGATCTTTTCTTTTCTCGCCATTACTGACCCCGATTTGCTCGGATGGTAAATCCTCATTTACAACGAAAATGTTTGGCGAAGCAAACATAAACGTGAGAATAATTGCAAGAATAGAATAATTTTCTTGCTGCTTCTTCTACAATTGCCCCTGCGACGTATTTTTAGGTTGTAATATTGATTTGAATAATGTTATTCCATGATTTCGTTACTATTTGGACTCTCTAATTTTAAAAGACTAAAATGCCTGTAACAAGTTTTGAACCTCAGCTTCTGAGTCCCATCAATCCCGTCTAAATTAGAGTTTTCGTCCAGTTTCTCTAAAAAAACTTTGAGCAAATGCTGAGATGACCCCATGTTTCGCTTTTAGTCATAAATTCCTCTACAAGTATTTTTTATTACATAGGAGATAATGGTTTCTCCAAAGACACACGTTTTCCGCCTCTATTCATAATTCAGCTTGTGTAAGAATTAGAGTAGAGATCCCAGAAATTCAGAGAACGTTTCCAAAATACCATTCTCCCCATAGTACGTCACAAACTGTTTTTATTATTTTATTCTTTGTCGTTAAACAGATAAAATAAATAGTCACCAACCGATCAAAGTTACCGCCCCTTTTCCTAATCCTTGTGAACGTTAAGTACACCTGGGCGTACGACGCTGTTGCAGCGCACATCGTGCCCGGCGCGCTGATGCTGGGACTGGCGTTCGTGGGGTGCAATGTGCCGGGAGCTATAGCGCTACTAACGATTGGCCTGTCCTTCAACGGCGCCTCCACCGTCACCAACCTCGTCAATCACCACGACCTCGCACCCAACTATGCAGGTACGCACACGAGCGACGCTCGGGCGCAGAGCAGCCTAAGTGGCCCTGGTTGCAAGGAAGAAGGCCTCATTTTCCCCCCACCTCCAGTCTCCAGGTTTCCCATGATATCTCTATGTTCAAAACCCGCCTGAATTCATTGTCAAGTCGTTATGCGACATTTGCTCATTCTGATCATGTTCTCACTTTTTATTTCAACTTGTCTTGTTTTCAGGTTCCTTATATGGATTTATGAATGGATTTGGAGCAACGACTTTGTGGATTGTTCCTTCAGTTACTGGAGCTATACTTGAAAGTCACGTAAGTTGTTAAAAAATCAGAAAGTCGAGTATTGTTCATCGCAGTCATAAATATTTCATAATATCATGGTTTCAATGTGTCAATTCATTAACATATTTCCCATTTTCTCGTATACGTATGGCTTTACGAAGTTATATACGTAGTATTCTCATAGAGATACAATTCTGAGAAAATCGATTTCAAGATTTCAACTGAAATACTCTTGGGAGTTCCCTGATGCCGAAAACGTGCTTTCTCTGCTTCTTCTCATTCCTTTTATTCTTCTCCAATCATTAGGTCAGTTGGTTCACTGTGACACATTCATCAATTCATGGTCTTTAGGGTATTCCTGTATTTCCTCTATGATATATAACTTGCTTTGGAATGTGTTAATCAGTCGTTATAATATCGACTTTCCATTCCTTCCTATATCGCACCTTCAATAGAAAAGTGACACAAGGGCGAAATCGTCATTTTTTAGCTAAAAGCTTATAAGAGGTTACCAATAGGTATTCCTACTATTCTGAAGCTGATTTTGAATTAGTTCAATTACTGTCCGCTAGAAGGTGAATATTTGGTACAATCTATAACGAGTATTACATAACTACGAAACTTAAAATTGCAATTTCTGAGAAAGAGGTGATATTGCATGCATTATTAAGAACAGAAATATTCTTTATTAAATAATCTTATTAAACTAAATCAATGTCCTACGTTACACAGCCAGTACGCTGCTCGCTCAGAATCAAAACAAACTACTGCTATGTACATTGCATGTTATGGGATCAACGTCCAGTTGTTCTTTGCCGAGACGGGAAGGTAAACAGTCCCTTTCGCCTTGACCCGACGGCGGCAATGGACGCAGCTTGCATCAGTGGCGGCTGGCGGAGGCAGCGGCAGGCAGACGGCGGTGACTGCCTTAAGGCTAAATGTCCCGACACTAGTACAATTTGTGGCCACCACGTGGCAGCACCAAAATAAGATAAAATTACTTTACCGATAACGTTTTGACCCAACGGTCAGATATTCACTCTAAACAGCATTTGACGCCTTTTAAAATAGAATTTACGCTTCGAAGCCCTTTTCAAAAAATCTAGACAAAATCTCGAATTTGAAATTAGTTCTCAACTTCCGAAAAAAAATTAAAATGTGGCTTTATACGCGGATGGCGACATGCTTCCTGAATCAACGCCTGACAATCATGCAAATCGGACGAATGTTAACAGAAAAACCTTAGAAGTAAAAATATCAAAATAAGAGAATGTGAGGAGATTGGAATAATGGTTATATTCTCTAAAATTAATTCATTGTTTTAAAAAAACTAGTCCAAATCGAATCGATATTGTGATATTGCCTCAAACAATTTTGAAGATCATATTCGAAGGAAGACGAAATACGTGGAAAATATATAATGTACTTTACTACTTTACAGAACCTTTACCTCCAGTCAAATTACTGGAGTATAGCAGCTCTATATTCGGTATCAGTGGAAAGATATAGACTGAGATGCAAAGAGGACGAAACCGAAACAGAGTGTCTATCCCGCACGTCCCGCCTACTGCCGCCGGGCTGGCCGCAAACCGCATGGCCTGTCGTGCCCCCCGCGCCACAGTAGGCCCACAACAATCGGTGGGTGACCAACGGCGAGAAAGGGAAGGGGGGCAGGATGTTTCGTAAATTTCACTTTACACGCCTCCTATTTCCGTCCGAATTGCATGTTGTCACGGCGTTTGGATTCAGGAAGCATTTCCATCGCACTATCAAACCCACTATTTTAAATTTCTTTCTCGGAAGTTTGAGAACTAATTTCGAAATTCGATGGATTTGCTAGTATTTTTGGAAAAAGCACTTCACGTACCGTAAATTCTATTTTAAAAAGCGTCAAATGCCCGTTTACAGATCGATAATCCGAATCATTGGTTCAGACTGTAATCGTAAAGTAATAATATCCTCCTGGTGAGGTATGCTGCGATCTATTGAATTTTCCTACACAGTTATTTTCGGTGCATTTGCCTTAAGGCTAAATGTACCACACTAGTACAATTTGCTACCACGTGGCAGCACCAAAATAAGTAAAATTTTACTTTTACGCATCAACGCTCTAACCAATGCGTCCGATTTTCGATCTGTAACTCGCATCTGACGGCTTTTTATCAAATAAATCACGCCTACAGCCTTTTTCCAAAACAATCTAGCAAAAATTCAAATGTTGAAATTATTTCTCGAACTTCCGAAGAAAAATTAAAAAATGTGGCTTATAGGCCATAGTCGAACATGCTTGCTGAATCCAACGCCGTGACATCATGCAAATCGAATGAATAGAGGCGTCGTAAAGTGAAATTACGTAAAACGCCTCGCCCCCCCTCCCCTTCTGCGCCGTCGTCACCACCGATTGTTGTGGGCCCCGTCGGCGCGGGCACACCACGCCAGGGCCAGGCGGCGTGCGGCCAGCCCCGCCCGAGCAGCAGGACGTTGCGGATACTCAGCCAACACGCCCGTTTATGCTTTCGTCACTTGACAGCTCAATCTTACTTTTCCACAGATACCAAACTAGAGATGCTATTACTGCATTACAGACCGACGTAACGGGTCTTAATACAGTATCATAACTTCTTTTTCACCATTACTTCCTCTTCTTTGATACCCATATTAAAATTGTGTTTGACATTACTCACACAAATATCGATTCCTATTGGAACTGTTTTTAAACAATTGATACTAAGTTCTGTAAATATCACCATTAGTCCATCTTTCTCACATCTTATGTCTTATCATATTTTACTTCTAAGGTATTCCGTTTTCATTCCACCACTCTTAAGATCTTCCTTCACATACCGGAAAGAATAGCGGAGTATCTACGCACGAGCTCTTTTATGCACACACTTTTTGCATTCACAGGCATTCCTGCAAGACCATGTATTTTGCCCAAATATAGCTGTAGTCTATCGACCTGCCAAAGAAGAGAAGGAAAATCTGCGAACAGAAGCACGATTTCTTATTGCAGGCCAGTTGTATTGTACAAAACATCAACTTATCGAGCCAACAGCATCTAGCAACCTGCAAATATTACATGTCTTTAAGTGGCAAACATTTACTGCGGGAAAACAAATTAACAGAGAGCCAAACGTTGTTCTGTTACCCACAGAACAAAAGCTGCCTCGTGAGACGTTCAGGTTGCAAATCTATTGTGCACTATGAGACAATGAAATCTATTCGAATGAAAGTCCTTGCTTTCTATTGTACAAGCAAACAGGCGAGAAGAAGGAGAAAACGAGAAACAGCTTGCAGAAGGTCGGCTCTTCAAGCACAGCAAGAGGGAAAGAATGTAGAAAGTAAGATCTGGCAGCGTATTCATAAAGATAACCCAGAAAGGTTTAGCTGACTACGGTGTATGTCTATGCAGGTGGACATGGAGATAGCGCAACTGACAACAATGAAAGAGAAGCAACTGTCACTTAATAAAGAGGAAATAGTGGAAGCTTGAAATACAACAAGAAGGCATGCAGGAATCTGAGAGGTGCACATGGAAAGAATAAAGTACAGGCCACCGGCGTCCAATTTCGATATGTTTTAAGACGCAGTCTAATCTAAGTGGCTCTCTGTTCCAAAAAACGCTGGTTGTGACTTCCGTCAAGTGCCATGATGTACGGAAGCGAGAATGAATCACGCGCTATTGATTGTTTCAAGAAAAAACAGGTCTAATTGTTGACGAATCGGTCTCTTTACACCAATTCCTATGTTCTTGGAGCTTCCCCTGACGGTTTGGTCGGATAGAAGAGTTCAATATTAAATAAAAAGTGTCCCAAATCAGCAAAAAACATGACAATACAGGATCATGCAATAACATAAAAAATTCTGCATTGACAAAAAATCATTGAAATTGAAAAAAGGAAGCAGATATTATTATCAAATCAGCCAGCTTCAACTCCAGGAAAAAAGTTGTCATTTCTGTTTATGTAATCCCAAAGGACAGCATCATGAAATTATTTACCGCGATGACGAGTTCGGTGGAGAAAAAAATGATACAGAAAACTTGTGTTCTCTACAAAGAAGTGCTCTACCTGAAATTTTGGACCTCGAATACGCAGATCTATGAGATATATTTTAAAAAACTGCATAAATTTTAACTATTGCGCTCGGGAAGAGCCTAATTAGGAAGGTTCATTATCCGTAGAAACTGCTAGTGTTTTCTTCACTTTAAATGACTCGTGCGTAAGTATATGTATATCGACAATAAGTTTTTTTCAGTAAACACAAAAAGCTCTCTACACACCAATATTCGTGACAGTGAAACCTAGTAGCGTTTTTAACTTTTCTTAGAACCTATTTTAAAGAATAAAAAATACATTTTGATACTAATTAAAAGGTTGAATGCTTATCTGCAGCCATTTTTCATTATGACGTTTGTTGAGCGATTTGCAATCTATACTATCGAAAGCAGTCGTCGTTTCACCCAGCTCTCGCCAAGCATGAGATTACAGTGTAAATCGATAACAGTGAGTTTTTAAGTTCCAAAACTGAAGTGTTAGAATATACTAACTGAGGAATATGAACGCAACGACCAGTAATCGTTCGCACATGATTCCCTATAAAAAAAAACTTTTCGTAATGTATAGTACAAATTTTCACAGCGCATAGAAATCGAAAAACTGTCAGTCTCGGTCCTTTGATGTAATGGACAATGGTAAGATATCCATGAACTCGGGAAAAATTCAAAAACAATTATCGTTTTCGATTTTCACTTAAAAAGTTAAATGTATTGCACATTTCTTAAATATTTGCCCGAGCAGGCTGACAATACAGCAGGACCATGCAACCAATAACAGACAATCTCAGACATGCGAAGTATAAGATTCAATGGACGATATGAAGCAAAACTATAGTACACTTTTTTACTCCAAACGCGTGCCTATTATTATTATATATTATTATTATTATATTATTATTATATTATTATTATTATTATTACTATTGATGATTTGATGAATGATGATGATGATATGATGATTACAACAGATCCATTATATAACCTATACTCTCTGAAATTCAGAAACAATTCACATGAAAAAAATATCACAAAAAAAAGCCTCATTTCTATCTTTTCTGAAAGTTGTTTATATTACATTATGTCGCGTAAGCGTTAGCGTAAAGTATATTCTACGATCATACTCACAAAAAAAAATCGGTTGGTTTTAAGCCTGTTTGAATTCCATATTATTTATATCATTTGTGCCGATTCATAGAGTCACGTCAAACTGGTTTTACATACTTGCAGCAAAGATATCTCTATATAACTTTTTATATGAAATCCATTTTTTTAAAACTAAAGAAATTGAAGAAACATGCCTCCAAATTTAGGAGTTATCCAATTGCATCAATTATCTCTTTATTCATTTACGTAGTCTGTACGACATGACGCACTGGAATTATTTATTCCCTTCAAAATTATACAATATAACATTTATTTTATATCAATAAATCTTACCAAGTAAGCTGGGATGATTCATATCTTATTTCATGCTTGTTACGGAGTTGGGGTCAGTGCACTCGCCAGGCCGCTATTTTACCACCTTTTTAAATTTGTCCGAAAGTACGAAAACATTTTTAAAATAGCTTCGGCTATTTTACTTGGGAAAAAATTCACAGATAATCTCTGTGAAGCAGATATACGCCGTTTTGATATCAAAAATCGAGTTGTAGGATAAAAGAGCTCGTGTCGATATACTCCGCTCATTCTTTCCGTATGTGCACAACGGAAGATCTTAGAGTAGTGGAATGAAAACGGAATAACTTAGAAGAAAATATATCTAAAATAAGATGTGAGAAGATGGCACTAATGGTGATATTTACAGAATTAGTTCAATTGTTTTAAAAACCAGTTCCAAATAGGAATCGATATTGTTGAGTAATGTCTCAAACAATTTTAATATGGTATCCAAATGAAACGGAAATATGTGAAAAATATAGTTATGTACTACTATTACTATCTTGTGAAAAGTTGATTGAGATGCAAAGTGACGAAAGCATAAACCACAGTCTCGCGTACCCGCAAGTCCCGCCTGCTCCGCCGGGGCTGCCGCACGCCGCCTGCCTGGCCTGGCCTGCCGTGCCGTCGCGCCGACGGAGGGCCCACAATAATCGGGTGACGCAATGGCGCAGAAGGGAGGGGGGACGAGCGTTTTCGTAAATTTCCTTTACGACGCTTCTATTCATTCGATTTGCATGATTGTCACGGCGTTGGATTCAGCAAGCAGTTCGCACTCGCGCTATAAGCCCACATTTTTTAATTTTTTCTCCGAAGTCGAGAACTAATTTCAAATTTGAATTTTTGCTAGATTTTGGAAAAAAGGCATCGTAGAGTGAATTCTATTTTAAAAAAGCGTCAAATGCCGTTTACAGGTCGAAAATCGGACCATTGTTCAGACGGTTATCAGTAAAGTAAATTCCCCCTGATAGTGCTGCGATCTATTGAATTTTCCTACAAGTATTTTTCGGTGCATTTAGCCTTAATCTCCTGGCTGGCGGGAGCGGCGGCCAGCAGGTCACTCAAGAGTCGGGTACATCAGACACTGGAGAACGGCGTCCACGCGACCCTAGCCGATGGTAATGCGGAAGGCGGCACATAAATGTCCGCGTATCGCCACTCCGTGATGTGGCGGTGACAACGAGAATGATAAAATGCAGGTCTTGCACTCCGAGACTGCAGCAGATGCGCGCTCTGCCTCGAGAGCCTAAGTGGCAGTTTGAACATTACTTGGCCGAAATTTTTATCTGATTGAATTTACTCCGCATCAAAATTCACCACCGAACCCCTGCCTCCCACCCATTCACCGACGAGGTGAGCCCACTATTCGTTGTATTTGAACGAATGACATGGGAGTGGGGCTTGTCCTCACCCAATCCAATATCGGCGCATGACCGTTGAAAATTGTTTCTTAAAATGCCTAATATTCTGAAAATTTAATTTGCATTTACTTAGTACCTTCTGGGAACCACAAAACAGTGGCATCAGGTAATGACTGGTGGTGAGTGGGTGGCCTTTCTAAGAAGGCGACGACAAAAAATGCTTAGGGCGGGGGCGGCGAAGGGCGGCTCTATGTACTGTTACACATTGAAAAATTTAAAGATTAATAAAGTTATCGAACACTAAAAATAGTTTGAGCAATATTTCCAAGCCACATTATGTGTCCATTCTTTCCGTATTGTTGAGCGATAACGGCATATCGTGATCATTTTAGACGTTATGAAGATGGCCCATTGGTGGAACACACATATTTTTTCACGTAACCATACAATTAAAAATTATTGCATTAAGTCATTATTCAAATTTTAGCTCATTGGACATGACAGTACGCCACTCGGGAACTATTATAGAAGGAAGATGTTATAATATTTTGTAGTCGTTTCAAGTTGATATTAGACAGAATCATTCACATGCTTATTCTTATCTTGTTTAATTTGTTGACAGAACGGCCTTCAAGAATGGAAAACAATTTACCTGATTGGATCAGGCTTGTATTTGGTCGCAGGCGTAATCTTCATTGCATTTGGTTCTGCCGAAATTCAAGAATGGAACAACTCTGATGAGGACTCGAAAGTTGAGAGTGAGAAGAAAATGGAGTCTGCTCCACCGCACGAAGATCCAGTGGTAACTCCGGATCCCATAATTGCTTCTGATGCCCAAGTTCAGGAGGCCAAATGAGCCATCATTGCAATTAAAGTTTTCAAAGTCAATAATCAGTATTCCAACTTAATGTTTCGTCAGTATCTGGCTCGTTGATTCTGACAAGAACAGGAGGCGGGTATATAATCATAATCTCGAGAGTTTGAAACTACTAATTTTATTGTCGTTTCATCGACATGTCTGAAATGATGAATTAACCTTCTTTCTGTTGATATTCAAAGTTTTAGGCAATATATATTTTTGATCTCGTTCTGATACAAATGGCACTACGCAGTGCAATTCTTAGATGATGTTGTCACCGAGTGAGGTAAATAGGCTTCGATGGTGTAATCTGTATATTAAATTGACATCTGAACTAGTTGGTAAGAACAATATTTACTTGATCATGCAATAATTCTCACACAAAATACTTATAATTGTTGCAATTATATTTTTTAATGTGCGATAAATTGCATGCATCGTTTTATTTATTTAATTCATGTACATTTCATATTGATCATTTTGTGTCCTGTTTGATACTGACTTCAACATTGCGTAATGACTTCCATATTAGTATTTGAGAGAAAAGTAGGGTTTTTTTAATTTTTTGTAAGGTTCATTACAGAAATGGTGTGCAAATATTTGTGTGATGATTGGTAGTTTCCGTTTGTATATTGCAGAGTGTATGGACTTTCATTCTAATAAAATTGAGTTATTGTAATGTAATACACATTTATTTTTTTATTAATACTAGGTGTCTGCGTCAGTAAAAATGCTGCTGAACTAAACCAGACAAGATGGTTTTCGCAAAAGGATATTATCTTACATCACAGGAATAAATGAAATATTTTAACAAAACAGTCTTCCTCAATATTGCAATTATATAGCCTAGCATATATGGATGCACAGTTCAACAGTTCCTTACGTAATAAGAATATCAGAAAAGTTGCTGTCTCATGTCAAACGCAACAAATGAATAGCAAAAATTTAATAACGCGGCTTCTTCATTTAGCCTTGCTGTCACGTGACGTCAGCTGTGTCGTCAGCAGTGACGCACGCAGTATGAGAATTCAGTCGGTATGCGCATTATGATATGATGATGAGATATTACACAATGAAATATTTGAATTTTCAATCAAATTTTAAAATATTTCCTGGGTATCTATTACAACGATTTACAGCTCTCAAATGTCAGGTTTCTGGTTGCTGGTTTCTTTAGACAGTTACGGAGGTTGTTATTTTTCATCAGGAGTAGTTTATTTTGTTTGACTTGACTGAATCGAAAATTTTAAGCCCCTTTTTGAATATTACGCTTTAATATACATCCCCTTTTTTGGAGTTATTTGATGTGAAAAAATTAATAGTCTACACAGATAACATTGTCTACGTAGTCTGCACGTACAAAGAGTCCTGAAGACTATGTGTAGATTGCGAGTAGAGAATCCGCGTAGACTTAAAACGTCTAAGGCACGACTCTGCTTTTTCCAGTATTAGTTAAAATATGAATAGCAATGAGCAGAGTCGATAATTTGATAATGCATCTTCATTCCCCTGAAGCAGTAATTATTTGCATTGAAGGCGAGTTACAGATTTAATACAATAGTATTGACGTCAAAAGAACTTAACTCTCCATTCCTAACATATCTAGCGAAATGAGAATTTAAGATAAATTACGCAGATTAAAATTTACATTTCAAAATTAGTGCTCTTTTGGCAGATGCACCCAGACGCATTGAAGCTAAGAAACTCTCCCAAAGGTTTCGTCGTCTTCATAATCACAATATTTTTGGACTGATCCCTGACATTTTATCTGTACCAATATGACAGTAAACCAAATGAAAAAGTGTTATTTCTTTTCATTAGGAATGTGAACGTAAATTGACCCGCAATACGAATGACACTTTATGTAATGGTTATGAAAACTTGTAATTTTATTTTATTATATAGAACGAATATTTCAACTAATGATAATATTGGACAAGATTTACTCAAGTGTACATTTTTTGTTAATGAAATGAACGTCGACGCTTTGTGTTGAAAGAAGAATATCGCTGAGTATTATTGTCTATTTCGAAAGTCGGAAATTTTGTTGCGTCCTTTTCCCTTCGGTTTTGAGGTTATGTAACGGATAGCATTTGTATGGTTATTATTTAAGAAATACAGTGAACAGGGCAAGCGAAAAATAAACAAAATTGCGACCATAATTTATTACTGACAATTTGTTTCATAACGGCAATTTACTCGTATAGCTTTCCAGCACCGAACAGTTAACGAATGGTCATTTAATTAAGATTCTAATTTTTGGATATGAAATTCGGTAAGTACATTTTGATACTTATTAATTAATGATTGGATAGTAATATCAATTATGTTTTACTGTAATTTTAATGTTGTAATTTAGTAAATACACTCTCACATTATGAGTGTTTAGAAATATTTTATTTACACATTAAAATACGGCAGAAGCGCTTTAGTGTGTGTTGGAGATGTCCAATAATTTTGAGACCGAAGCCAGTGGTATGTGGTTAGGAAGTCGTCACATCGAGACCATGCAACTGTTTGCTTTGTGAAAGTCTTGTAGTTATCTATGCTATGATTATATCACCAACTTAGTTTAGATATGGCAAAACGTATTGATATCAGTACAGCTATTTGCGAAAATTATGAAAATTACATTTAAAAACCTTAAACCGACTTCAAAATACAATGAATTTACAAGGCAAAGTTTAATTAAAACATGATTGCCTAATCGAAATACTTTTTTAATACTTTTAAGCACTTTTTAGATATTGATGTCAGTTGTATAGTCTCTCAAAATTTGATTTTTGAGTTTTAACTGATTTTTGAGTCAATAGTTGGTGGAAAAATAAATATATTGTTCCCTCCATACATTTCTCTTAATCTCCAATAAGAAAGAGCATGTACACTCTTGGAAACATAAAGTTTCGCGTCGAAAATGCCTTGGCGCGATAGGTTGATGGCTCTTATTGCCGGGTGCGGATAACATTATTCAGATTGTTTCCTTTCACCGGAACATACGAATGACGAACGGATGCAGGCAATGCCGATAGCGTTATCTTTTGGCGAGATGGCAATCGTCCAATGTCAATTCTACTGAAACTAAATGCACCAATATGTGTTGCTGACAATGGCGAGAATCGAGCGAATGATTGCGAGGTTCTAGTTTCTCCAAAACTGCAGACATTTTCACCAATGGAAAAATTGAATTACTGCTTTCAATAGGGCGTCCCCATTGGCAATTACGCGGGCGCCGGTTTTATAAATATGATTGTAACAAACGCGTTTTTGTTGTCACAGCTCCAGAGGGCATTCTCAAAGATTTGCGGCCAAAAGGATCATGAAGATTGGTTATGAATACATTGAATGTTATCAGACGCATCTTTCGACGCCATTGCCATATCTTCATGTTTCGTTGCAAGTACGTAATCTTGTCCAAGTCAGAACATGTATCATTCTGTAGAAATCAAGCACTGGGCCAAGCATTGATTACAAAGTGGATACTCCGAAAATGCATTAGTGGTTTGTGAACGGTCAGCAGTGACGTCTGTGGATCTTCTACATATTTGGATAAACAAATGTTCACATGATATATTGAAATCGAAATGAAATAATTACACCTATTGTAAAAATACGTAATGATAAACAAGTTTTTTTCGCCAAAGAATACTTTTTCACAAAAGATACAATAAATCTCTAAATTTTAATAATTTCAAAATAAAGTCATTTTTCAATTTTGTAGTGCTCCAGCTTCCTTCGTAATAGACTAGACATTCCTTAATATCGATTCTAGAGCTTAGTTTTCTTTTCACTAGTCAAGGGGGAAATTAATCTTCAAACATTTCATAAGAATGACTTTTGGAAACAGATTGGAATTCCCAATAAGATATTTTTATTGTTTATTCCTAAAAACAACTGGAATGGATGAAGTCCCATTTTCAAACTAGCCTCCTGAAATTAAGTGATCGAGCAACAGTTTAATGCTTACATATTTTGATTGTTCTCGTGAGTTGCGAGAGCTTTTGGGCTTAGCTTTAAAATAAAATATTTTAGTAATTGTTTTGGTGGTTATTAGCCCTCTGCCTAGCATTGCTTGCTTGGCTGAAAACTTTTAAATAATCTCCAAAAACGTTTCGGGGCGGTCTCCAAACACCCGCTTGCGATAAACTAAATTCGGTTCACTTTAAAAATGCTCGAGGCGGACGAGGACTAACTCTACATTATGTGTATCTCCCCAATACATAATGCCATCGCAACTTTTTTGATGTTTTTAGTTATATGAGGAGTTCAGCTTTTGCTAATTATGTTAGCATACTTTGAAAATATTGGGCCCTTGCTTTCGCTTGGACAGCGAATTTTCATCCCGTTTTATGCATTAAACATTGTCACGACAAATTGTAAAAATGTTATACATTTAGTGGTATTGAATGCAATTGTAAAACTGGATAAGAATATCTATCAGGGTTGGTAACTCAGGAATCCCAGCGAAATTTCCACGTGAGTGCTGAGACACAACACTCGATACTGAGCCATTCTGCCCCCTTGGTGCGCTCCTTTGTATACTAAATACATATTTATAGTTAACGAAACTTGAAACGAAAACATTACGGCTTTACAAAACAATTTATGTCAGTTGAGTTATTACTGGACAGAAATCACGAAATTCTTTTTCCTTAGCGCTACAACTATTTTGCTGTCAATTGATTTTAAAATATTTAATTTCTCTCCAATAGATAAATTAAATTGCTTCAGGAGCACGATCTACAGAACGTAGTTTCGGAATAAACTGTAGATAGAGTTGTCGGCAAGCAGGGGATGTCCCAG